CTGACTAACACTATTAAAGAATTACTCTGGCTGATGTGCTGAGAATCAACAGCAAGGGTTTTAAAAGTGGGAGACCAATTCAGAGCTGCAGTCAGCTAGGTGAGAGATGATAATGGCTTAGACCAGAGTGATGGCAGTTGGGTGGTGAGAAGTAGACAACTTCACATACATTTCAGGGAATAGTAAGTTTCCTGATGGAAGAGATACGGGGAATGTGAGAACAGAAGAGTCAACAATGATTCCAAGGTGTCAGCACCTGACTACTGGAAGAACAGGATTTGCCATCAACTGATTTGGGAGAAGGCTGATAGCAAAGCTAAAGGAAGATCAGGTGTTACATTTTACATACATTAAATGTATGAATGAAATGTTATTAAGCTTTACCAGGCTTCCATTTCAAATGAAATCATATTAACATCAAAAACCCAAAGATCCTGTTCTTACCTCAAGCTACTTGAGTAGGACCTCTTAACCAACTCCCATAAAGACACACACAAACCACCTTCCACACTCACCCCCAGACACACTCACCCCCAGACACACACACACACACACACACACACACACACACACACGGCTCATGCCCAGACTTGACTTTTCAATTCACTGAAACAGCTCCCTCACTTTCTGCTCCAACACCTAACTGCTTCAATCCAAAATAAAAGGCAAGCAACCAATCCAAAAATCTCACCCAACACTGTTAGCCAAAACAGAACCTGCTGAGCATATCAACCCACACAAATAAATGCCCATATGGGTCACAACCCACCATAATCTCAGCCAAACCTGTAGAAAAGAATTATGGATAGAGATTCTAAAAAAAGAAATTTCTCATAACCATCTCACAAAATTCAGATTCATTAGATTTGAGATTAGGGCCCTACCTCCCACCATTTTAACAAAGAGTCCCAGATCTGCAGCAGGTTGGAGAACCAAAGCCCTTAGGATCACCTGCAATGGAAGAAAGTCACTTGCATATATATATGTATATAGACAATATATATATATCTTCAAGGGTAACATTTTTGTGGCTGGTGGGGGTAAAGCTTTAAAAAACATCCTTCCCGGGGCGCCTGGGTGGCTCAGTTGGTTAAGCAACTGCCTTCGGCTCAGGTCATGATCCTGGAGTCCTCGGATGGAGTCCCGCATCGGGCTCCCTGCTCAGCAGGGAGTCTGCTTCTCGCTCTGACCTTCCCCCCTCTCATGTGCTCTCTCTCTCTCTAATAAATAAATAGAATCTTAAAAAAAAAATCCTTCCCTATGGTTCTAATATCAATAGTAGTCACCAAGTATCAGCACCACTACTGTCAAACCAATCCCGGATCCAGACATACAATTATTAAAACATGTAAGCCATATCCATGGCAGCAGGCAGAGAAGAGAAACCAGGAGCAAGTTTGCCTACAAGCCTGCCTAGATTCAGAAATACCATTCTTTATGGGAACATCTATAAGGAAAAGGGGCTACAATTACATGGGCACCAAAACAACTTTCAGTAGAGAAACACTTCAATCTCCACTTCTCCCAATCATGGCTCTCAATTTCCAAAGATATCAAAAGTTCTCATAGTGGATTTCAAAGCCATTCAGGAGCTGAACTCATGTTCCCTGACACTTCTCACAGAATAATCTTACATAGTCTCTCTTTGTGCCCACACAAGTCTCTCTTTTTTTATCTCCCACATCCAGACTTTTGTTTCCCAGTTTTTAATCACTCTTTAAACTTCACCTGCTCCTCTAAGTCCTCTAATTAAGCAGAGCCTGATCTAGATGTATACTCACCCCCACAGAGCCTGCAAGATTTCCTATATTACTACCAGATGTGTTGGAGTATACTTGTACAGGCTTGTAGGCACAGGAATAGACACAGAGCTGGTCAATCATTATAGTGCTTTCCTTTAAATTATAAAATCGTCAAGGGCAGATACCAAATCATTACACTATAAAGTGGTCTCAGGAGCACAAAGCACTAACCCGTGTACACGATGCTTTAGGAAGATGTTCTCAAGATACCTCATGTGCACCCCAGAATTCAAGTCACATAGAAGAAAAGGGAGCAAATATGGCTCTGGGTACCTTTTTGCCTCCTGTTGTCACTCATTTATACACTTCCACCTCAAAAAAGTGGAAATAGTCAGTGAGTTAAGCAGGCACTCGCTTAAGTGGGCACAGAGATGTAAATAAGGGGAAAAATAAGACTAGCTTTGAAATATTTCTGTAGTACCCCCATTCCTGGGAACATACAAACCAGAATAACTAGATCTCAAGTTATACAGCCTACCAGATAGGATGCAAGACATATCCTAACACATCATGAAAACAGAACTGAACAAAACAAAACTTGCCTTGAAAGCACCAGTCATATTCTGAGATCATAGTTAAATTTGAAAAGTGTAAGACACTTCTCAGAACCCCAGGTGCTACGCTCAGAGAAAGGTGGGATGGTGACACCAGTTTTTTTCTTACTGTTATTTTCAGCAATAACAAAAGATACACAGAAATCAAAAGGAAAAGTCTAGTTAGAATCTCATAACACATCAAACCATTGTCAAATTTTCATAGAGCATACTAGTCTGTAAACTGTATATACATTATAGACAGAGACTGGCATACCACAGAATTCAAGAGCAAAATCTGTTTACAAAATGTACTTTAACACTAGCTTCTAAAAGTCAATTACAATTATAGTACTGCCCATATAGAACTGTCTAATAAAGAATTCTTTCTGGGGCGCCTGGGTGGCTCAGATGGTTGAGCGTCTGCCTTCGGGTCAGGTCATGATCCCAGGGTCCTGGGATCGAGTCCCGCATCGGGCTCCCTGCTCGGCGGGGAGCCTGCTTCTCCCTCTCCTCTGCGCCTCTCTCTCTCTCTCTCTCTCTCTCTGACTCTCATGAATAAATAAATAAAACATTAAAAAAAAAAAGAATTCTTTCTTCTAAAATACTATCACAACTAAGTTAGGGAATACTACAATAAAAGCAGAAAGAAAAGTCACTGAAACCACCTCTCTACTATGATAGGGCCAAAATTTTCTCACCTAGCTGCCCAAAGCAAAACAAAAGAAAAAAACAAAAACAAAACAAACAAAAAAACCACCAAAACTAAAAAGTTAGGAACTAGATGACTATTTCTGAAAAACCTACTATGTAATTATACCATCTTCTCAAACTTGTAAAACAGTAAAATTTTAGAATATGAAGGTGACATATGAAAATGGGAGATGTCCTAACAATCTAAATCTTAACAATTCTTCAAAAAGAACTGTACATCTTAAACTTCCAACTAGTAAACATACCTCTCAGATTCACAGTTCTAGACAATGGCAATAAACTGGATAATCTAGCACTAAAAATTCCAGTTCTATTATTCTATTAGCTTTGGAAGAATAAAAACAAGGTATGAGAACATGGACAGGCTTCCTGGGGTCGTGCATCATCTCTTTTGGTGGGAAAGCACTCTACCTCTGTGCAGCCTTCATGAGTCCTATCCTTCCAGGTAACTCTCTTCTCCAGAATATTCGGACTGGTAGAGATAAAAATCATCTATCAGGCTGCGACTTCCTTTATAAAAGGAAATTTTCTTCACCGTCTTTGACCTTATGAGTAAAAGACCTTATGAGTAGACCAGCTAATCCACTGGATATAAGGCAGTGGCAACATCTGAAGAAATAAACTATTTTGGCTTCTTCTTTGTGGTTAGTATGAAACACACACACACACACACACACACACACACACGAGATAAGGCAGTGGCAACATCTGAAGAAATAAACTATTTTGGTTTCTTCTTTGTGGTTAGTATGAAACACACACACACGAGAGAGGGAACACGGTTGCTCCAGAAGAAAACAGTGCAGAATGATAAACCAAAGGAATAAAGGTGGCTATATCTTAAAGTATACTCAAAGCAGGCTCTGAAATTCACCCAAATGTGTGGCTCAGTGCCTAAACCAACATATACATCTGGTAATAATAAACACTGATAAGTCATAAACAAAAAGGGCTTTCTTAATTCAAAAACTCTAGAAACTACTGGTAACATTAAAATTTACATAAAATACTATCAAACAATATGTGTGAAACAGATTTTTTTTAGATAGTATTTGTATTTCAACTGAAATTACTAAGATGAAAAACTGGTATTTTACTGCCTAGTCTTCAAAACACTAGGAAGCCAGTATCTTTGATTTGACCAAGTCACAAATCTGTTTTCAGTAGACAGAGAAAACATATTGCCTCTGTTTAAGGCAAAGGACAAAAAAGATCATCACTGCAAATCATAATGTTTGGGTTCATGATGAAAACAGGAAACAGGCTGCCCAGGTATAATTATGGTTATAGTGTAATGTGCCTTCAGGTTCAGCCAAGAATTAAAACGCAGTGAAGAAAGAGTAAGCAGAATTTACTTGCCTCTACCTTGCTGTAGAAGGGAACTTTTAATAATACTTCCAGCAACATGTTACATAACCAACAGTAAACAACAATGTGATTCAAACCTCATTAGTAACAACATTCTGCCACTGTGTCCCACTGAAATTAATAGCTGACTTTGCCAGGGGGAAAAGAAATGCAACACATATCAATCTACCCATTTCTGTGGCGCCTACCTAGGTGAACCAGACAAGTAGATAATACCACCAAATCTGCACAGAATCTACAAAAATATTTTATTCTTCTCTTTTCCCCAGTTCACTGCTGGCTTTCCTCCTTTTTACCAGACTGTATCATATGGATGCATTTAAAATCTAAGAGGAAAGCGAACTGAGGAGGTTCACCTAACTTTTACTGTCTATTTTAGCTATTTCAGATCCAAAAGAAATGGAAGGATAAATGATGAGTGAATTTTTCTAACCAAGATACACAGTAACATTTATGCAATAAAAACAGCTATGTGAAAAAGGCATGCTGACTGAGGGATCCGCAATATAGAGGGAAAGAAAGGGGAATGTAACCACGCAATCAAAAATTAAATTTTAAAAACCTAAAAGGTATTATGTACCACCTTTGTGAAGGTTAAATTTTGTTAAATTGTCTCTTATGAGTTGTTCCCTATTCTTGCAATCCCAGGGTTCACTGCACAGGGAAAAAACAGCTACCAAAGGAGTGTAAAAAAAAAAAGAATTTGTACAAATTTGTAAATAATCCCTTACTTACTAAATTTGGAACACACAAATTTCCTAAGAGTATTCTGATCAATACGTGTGAAACTGTCACATTGTGTCTAGGTATTGTTTTCCTTACAACAGCCACTACCAGAGTGACATCTAGCAGAAACTTTCCCCTACTTGCAATGTCACTAAATTTAATAGGACTAAGGTTTTTGAGCCTTTTAGGTTTCAAATTAAAATTCAAAACTCACTCTGGGCAATTCGGGTACTCTAAGGAAATGCAAGTACTCTGGTTTTTAAGAACTTAAATTGAATTTTTAAAACAGCAACTCAAGCACCCTTTCCTCTCAACTTCTGTGAAGCCAAGCCACAACCTCCACCTACCCAGCCTTTGTTGCTAGATAAGAACACTTTTGGTAGTGCTAGGCAACACGCATGATGTGACAAACCCAGCCAGACTTCAAAACTTTTTCCACAGAAAGATAAGGTAAACAAGATATACTTAGCACCACACCCATTTAAACGCACAAGCAGCCAGGAATGTTTTTCACCCCCTTCTAGACCTCCAGCTGGTCAGGAAACAATGTCTCTGCAATCAAGATAGTGATCTGGCCCAGGGTGTTCAGGCATTCCTCACCTCCAGGATGGCCTACAGCTCCATTCTTCAATGCCATCAAAACCAGAATTGGAACATTTGTTAGGAATCGGGCACACGTCCAAATACCCGGGCTATCCTCGCCCCAGTTCTTTTTGCAACCGAAATCCGTTTTTGGCTACTGAGCATGCTCCAACTTAAGACAGGCGCCACATGGGAGTTTTCAAAGCTTAGGCTCCAAACTCCACGTAATAACAGCAGCTGAAAGGGGAAGAGAGGGAAAAGGGAGGGGGAAGGGGAGAGACCGGAATATGAATTTGAGTACTGATACTAAAGTGAAAGACCGGGCAGAGACCCAATATGATGAAGGCAAACAGGGACGGCTTGGCATTCTCCTTGCACCAATGCATAAGTTTACAAGAAAGAACAAGAAATCTTTGCAATGGTGAAAACTAGCACGGCAAGTGGCAGAAACCAGGTCTAACTACCAGCTGAGTGCAGTAGCAAGGCACAAGTGCCCAGAGTGTAATTCCCACCGATAAGCGTGGATCCTTATCTCTGAAACACAAAGCGACGGCGGCACGGATTCATCAAGCCACTGGACAGCTTTGCAGGGTAGCAGATCAGACGGCTCGACCCAGCACGGCGATCCTACCTGGGGTGTGACTGAGGGTGGTGCTTAGATGAGGTACAACAAACCGCTCCTCTCGACCCAAGCGGGGCCGGGAATCTCCCCCACCCCCACCCCCCCCCACCCCCGCCCCGAGGGCGTCCGGAGCGCCTCCCTCCACAGTCCGGGCGGCAACGGCAGCGCAGGGACCAAGGCCAGCCTCGGGACGCCCCCGGCCGCAGTAAGGCCTCCGCAGCCGGACGGGACGCCCCATCCTCGGCCGCTCGAACCTCTGCAGGCCGGGACTCGGCCTACCTCCCGCCCCGCAGGCCCGGGCGGTTTCCGTTCCGCCCGCGGCCCAACGCCCCCGACTCGGCCCGACTCCAGCCACTGGGGCCTGAGGGCGAGCCGCGTCCCGGAGGAAGCTGCAGCCCCCGGCCCGGCTCGCCCGCCCCGGGGCCCCACACTCACTCACCCGCCGGCTGGACACACTCCCCCGGCGCCGTCGCTGCGCTTCCCCTCAGTGCAACTTTATTAGCAGCTTGGCCGCGGGACACGCGCACGGCGCCCGCTCGCCCAGGACCCGGATGAGGGAGGGAAGGAGCCGGGGAGGACGCTGCCGGAGTCCGCGCATGCGCGCGAGAGGCCGAGTGACCGCTGCGGAGCCGGTGGGAAGGAAGCCCTGGCGCTTGGCTCCGTGTGGCCAAGCCTAGCTTCCGATTTGCCAGAGGCACTTGTGGCAATGGCCAGGCCCAGGCGTGGGAGTCGGTGAGCTCCCACCGCCACGATGGCCACTAGTAGTGTCCACTAACCAAAGCAACCCACGTTGTAAGAAAATAAAACTATCGCCCTTGATAGGGACCACTGCACATTTTCTCAATCATATAAAAACTGTAGAAAAATCTTCAGACACAAGTTTGCTACTTTTACTGATTTTTTGGGGGTAACTATATAACTCTGAGAGAATCCTCTCTTTATGAAAACTCACTTCAAAACAAACTTCTGAGCAGCAATCCTAGAACCCCTTCTGTATGGTAATCTTGGAGTCTCTGCTCTTCCCCAACCAACCCCTCTGGCAGTTCCCCGAATTACGACTGTCCATGTATTGGGAGATCAACCCCAATTGTTCAAGATAACACACACCCTTCTGGACAGGTGAGGCCACTGAGGTGCCCAAAGTTCACCTGTAGGCTGGTATCCCTCCACTCCGCCTCCTGTGGCAAGAACCTAAGTCTCTTCCTTAGTGTTTGGGGATCTTCTTGCTCTTTTCCTTAAATTCCCCCAAAGCGTCAGCATTTCCCAGAATGTGATAGTGGCACCACGTAGGGTGTCCAGTTTGAAGAGTACTAGTGAAGAAAACTTTTAAATAATTTTGTTCTCATTTTAAAAGTTCAACCCAGGTTTTCCAGTACTCCACGGTAGGTTTCCTTTTTCAGTCAATTACTCTAAGTAAAAATCAAAATTGGAGACATTTCCAAATCTTCTCCCTCATAGCCTAATTCTATCCATCATGAAATCTTATTAAATGTACCTTCAAAATATATGCCAAATCTGATTTCTCACTGCTTTCTATTATCACCACCACGGCCTGAGCCAGCGTCCTCTCACACAAATGGACAACTGCTCTTTTGCTCGGGGCTCCAGCAGTTTGTTCCCACAGTAAAAAAGACTAAGTAGATGTTGCACAAGTGTCTGCATGAGAGGTGGCCATTTCCAGTGGGACAGGGGAAGTGCAGTGGGCCAGGGTGTGCAGTGGGCCAGGGTGGGGAAGTGCAGTGGGCCAGGGTGGGGAACCAGACAGTGCCTATTCTGATCACAGGGGCAGCTGCTGATCTACTCCAGCCAACTGCCACCATGGGGAAATGAAATAAGGGCCAGTGTTGGCAGATCTTCTGATTTTTCAAAAACAGCTGGAAATCTGGATGTTAATGCAAAAAAAATCTCACTTTTATATGCTTCGCCACTTCTTTTCATTCTTTCTCACTTTTTCTCCCTTTCTCAGGCATTCAGGAGGCCAGTCCTATACAAGCCAAGCAAAACAAATCCATGGTCCCGATTTAGCCTATTGACCATTGGTGTGCAGTTTCAGGTCTACATCTTAAACCTCTTTACTACATCATAAATTTTATGTAAGTAAAGTCTGTGTACTTTAACTCTTTGTCACACTCACTGATTATTTGTTGGTAATTCAGAAGTTTCCAGTCCTTGGAAGGCACATATTTTTGGAGCCTGCATGGGTTTACAACTCCCAGAAGTGCCCATAACCCTGCCTTGGAGGGTGCCTTTTTTTTTTTTTTCCCAGAACTAAATGTTTGCAGAGTGTTTTGTTGAACATTATAAGACATAACAATTTGGTTTAAATATTTTGTGTACTAGAGCCATTCCATACTTCAAACAGCTAGTAAAATCCTCCCCCAAACCATTTGCTGTCTTGCAGTCACTGCATAATATGCAAGGAACAATTTGTGATCGCAGGATTCCTATGAATGCTCACATTGGTAATCGCAAAGCCAACAGTTTTGTTTCCTGAACTATGTGTTCATGTACTGATCAAAGCAACCAAAGACTCCAACCTCTCCAAGTTGCTCTGTGGGCTCAGCTTAGGTCTGAAGTTGGAAGAGATGATAACATAGAAGGAGGAAGAAAAACTTTAAGAGCACAAAAGATGCCTCCCAAAGAAGGGAGAAATTACCCAGACTCAAAGGATAGAGAAAATCAGATCACTAAATGTCTAGATAGTCGAAAAGATCATCAAACAGTCAATGAACTGGCATGTCGGAGCCCTAGGAAAGGAGTAAGGAAGTTCCTGTTTTTGACAATCAAATGGATTCTAAAAACAAAGATAGAATGGAATGATCTGAACAAGTAGATATAGTCTCCGTGGGACATCAAAAGAGATAAACTGATTTTTCAGTTTAGCATTCCCCCATGAGAATCAAATAAAAGCAGCTTCAATTCTCAATCTTACTTATTTGTAAAGAAACCTATTTCTGGATAATATAGGCCAGTGCCTCTCAATGAGGGGTGACTGTGCCCTCCTCCTGGGGAACATTTGGCAATGTTTGAAAATAACTGTGACTGTCACATCTAGGAGGGTGGTGCTAATAGCATCTACTGGGTAGAGGCCAGAGAAGCTGCTAAATACTCTGCAATATACAGGACAGCCTCCTTCTACCAAGAATTATCTAGCCCAAAATGTCAATCGTGCTGAGGTCGAGAAACCCTGTTTGAAGTCCCAAATAGGCTTTCCTTAATTGAGTTGATGTTTAGGGGGAAAGTGAGCCTTTTCTTTGGATTTTTCCAAAAATAAATAAAAATAATTGTTTTAGTTATTCATTAGGTAGAACAAATCAGCCTTAATGTTTAGCCCTACTCCCACCTTGAATTTTCCAGAACCAAAGAGAAGGTAATTTTCAGGAAAGATGGGACCATATAAGGAACACGAAGAACTGGAATAATTAACTCAGTCTTCCCGTATTCTTAATTTTTAATTTAAAATTTAGGTTAATTGAGGCAAATTGGTGTTGGTGTCAGTATCCTTAATAAATATGTCAATTCCATTTTTTGCTATAGCTTTGAAGATTCTCCCTTAACAGCCAGTGCACACCCAGTAGAACTGGAAGAACGTGATGACATCTGGACGAGTCACCCAGGGTGGAAGGATCGGTGAATGACCACAGAGATCCATCCATAAAGGGTCCTACCTAGTAGTCACCTCAAAGACTCCCACTTCCTGAGACAGTCATGGCAAGTGGAATGAGAAGAAGAAATGTCTGAGCTTGAGTGACTCCTCTGGACAGTGTCCTAGAAACAATAAAGCTGACTTCCCAAGTTCTAAACATTCTAACAGAATGAGCCACAAGGTTCTGTGCAAACCAGAGAATACACTAAAGTGACTTTATTCGATATTTGAAAGGGTTTTTTTTTCCCCCAGTAAAATCTGAGTGTTCTGGCGTGAAATGATCCCTTAATATTCCACAGACCCTTTATTTTCATAACTCAGATGTCGAGAGCTTTATGTATTTAAAAAAAAAAAAAAGGAAACATAAAATAAAAGAATGACAGCTGCCTCTCCTGGAGGCTCAGGACTCTCTAGGCCATGGACCCCTTGAAGCTTCAGGGACGGATATGAGAGACCCTGTGACCACCCCCACCCCCCAGCAAATATGTACATTTTTGTGTATGTACCTATGTACACATTTTCTGCAGAAAAAAAAATCCAAAGCTTTCAACAGCTGCTCAAAGGTTTGCCTGACCCCCCTAATGTTTGCAAATGCTTAAAGCAGTGGTGACTTTCCGCGTGGTGTAAATTTAATGTGTCCATTTTAAGTTCTCTTCTCTTCTCTTTTTCAGAGCAACATAATTGGGAGATCCCTCTGGAGGGAGGGCTGTTTGATGCAGAATGGAGGAACCTGGCTTGCCTGTCTGCGGCCATCTGCTACATTAAAGAAGGCCTCCTATGGCTGGAATCCAAAACACAAAATTAAAAGGGTTGCTTGCACCCAGAGTCATAAAACAAAGAGGCTTTCTAAAGCAGGACTTGAAGCGAACGCTCATTTCTTCCTGACTTAAACAGCATCTGTGCCTCCTGACAGCAAACACCCTCCAAGTTAACTCAACTGAGCTCCCAGTCCTACATGCTCAGTTTTCGTCCTCAGAGACATGGTCTCAGATGAGCCAGACCACATGTGCACTCTGCCACAAATCCAGAGCAGCAAGTGAAAATCTGGGAATGCTATGGAACTGGGGAGAGGGGAAGGAGACAGAAGTTCACATTCTCTAGAATGCCTTTGAAGTGTATAAAATCTTGGGCACCAGAACTCTTGAAGCCAGACTTCCTGATTTGAACACTGTCTCCCTTACTCCCTGTGTGACCTTGCCCAAGTTCCTTAGCCAATCTATGCCTTAGTCTCCTCATCTGTAAAATGGGGATTACAGTAGGATCCAATTAACAGAATTATTATGGGGATTAAATGAATAGAAACTTGACAGACACTTAGAACAGTACCTGGCACATAGTTAAGTGCAATAGAAGGCATGTGTTTTCACCGATACACCAGCAACCTCTACAACAGCCTTAGCAAATTCATTTGTTACATAAAACGTGCATGCATTTTACCCAACAGTAGACCCTCTTCTCTTCTTACTTTAATAGACGATTTCATTCCTCCTCAAGCCTAAGGTACTATCTGTTGCAGACAGTTCCCGAATTTCCGTTTCCATCTTGGGCTTGGCTGACGAGCTCCGGGTCCTTGAACTCCCCTCAATGTCTCTACTGGTCTGTAGAATTGTGGATTTTGTCTGCCTGCCATACTCTCCAAACCCCTTTCTCCTGCTTCCTTTGTGCAACCATTCCTCTTCAGTATCAAGCATGGTCCCAGACACCCCTCCCCAGAGATGGGCACAGGACCCAGGAGGGTTATCGTAGTTTCCCCCTAGCCAGGCCACCATGATTGGTTCATAGACAGGCATATGACCCAAGGAAAGTCACATGTATTATCTCTTAGACTGATGTATGGATGTTGAGAGAGGGAAATCCTCCTCCTTACTGTTGCTGCTAAGCTAAGGGTGAGTCTGAGGC